GCATTTCGGAGAGGTCTGAGATGCAGCGAAGTCTGGTCCTGCGAGCAGTGGGAAAGAAAGGAGGTAGGGTCAAGGACAGGACGTCAAGACTGTGGCATAGTGCAGTGGCACGGGGAGTTCCGTGTTTTGGGAGGTATATCTCAGGATCCTGTGTATCCTTGCAAGGCCAGGGACGAAAGCAAGGTAGAACTGGCTGACCTTAATCAAAGTGCAAAGTGTGGACACGGCCTTCTGCTCTTTGGGGCCCGACTGAGTGATCTGCACACCTGGAGACTTGATCGGTCTGTTGGACTTACCTAGGCTCAGAAATCCAAACAGAAGGAGTCGGAAGTAGCAGATATGTCACCTAAGAAGTCCTTGTGTCGATGAAGAGGGGACAGAGTTAGCTGGTTTCTAACGTACTTGACTGTTAGAGACAGCAGGATCCCTTCTGAGTCGTCCTTCAGTCTCAATGGAGCTGTTTGTGGCCTGAAGTGGTCATGCTTTTAGAAAAAGCATTTTAATATGAGGCTTTTAAACATTTGCATCTAATATACTCCATAGAATTTGGGATTTGGAAGAAACCATAAGGGTCATTAAGTATGGTGTTGCGTTTGGTGGAATATCCTTGTGGTAGAATGCCCGAAGGATGGCTGTTTAATGTCTCCAGAAACATTCTGCTGGAGAGCCTGGGCCCTGCATGGGCCATGAAAGTCTGCTGTTAGATCTCCATCTAGTACTTATGTGACATTGAGACTTATAGGAGACAGACACACTCTAGCTACCATGGTGTTGTCATAAGTATCTTGTGCGTATGTTTCTCTGTCAGGCAACATTAATCAATCACTGATGACACTCAGAACATGTATGGAAGTCCTGCGAGAGAACCAAATGTATGGAACCAACAAGGTAAGCAACAGCCACCTTTAATTGCGTCTGTAGTTTCATTTGTGTGCGTCTTGTCTTAGGTCTTTGGATTTGAATATCTTTACAGATGGTTCCATATCGAGATTCAAAGTTAACCCATCTGTTCAAGAACTACTTTGATGGGGAAGGAAAAGTGCGTATGATCGTGTGTGTGCATCCAAAGGCTGAAGACTATGAAGAAAGCTTGGTAATCGTAATTTATTTAGCCTGTAAAGTCTTCATTTTGTTCTTTTTTAGGTTTTTGCCATAGGATACATGCACTCACTGGAGGGGAGAGAGAGAGGAGAGAGAGACAGAGATCTCACTTGCAGGGGGGTGGCCACTTCACAATCCCTTCTTCATTCTCCTCTTTGGATTTTGGGCACACATGCACATGTGCGTGGAGTGTTTTTTAAGCCGCCAGGTCTGGAACTCAGACCACAGGGTTGACCGTGGGGGCGCAGCGCCTTAACCACCGCACCACCTGCTGGCCCACTTAGCCTGTAGAGTTGAGTGTCTGGCCCGGCTGTGGCAGCACCTGTCATTAAGGCATTGCTTCGCGGCTGAGGCCACACTGGAGGCCCAGATTCAACTCCCGATCCACCCTAAAAGCTGGACGTGGTGGCACACACCTGTAGTCCCTGCTCCTCTGGAGGCCGAGGCAAGAGGATTGCAACACAGAAAGACCCTGTCTGTGAAGAATAAAAACAAAACATCTTGAGTTTCTGTAAGGAAAACAACTAATAGATGTGATGAATTATATTTTGGCCCAGCCTCTATGACTTACACAGTAGCATACTGAACTGCAAAATTGGAAGCCGCATGCTGATCACTGTTCAAGTCCCCTGCCTCTGTGTGTGTGTGTGTGTGTGTGTGTGTGTTTCCAGAGCCCTGGCAGGCTGGGGGACTACAGGGTGGGGACTGCGGCATGCACGTCTTGTGGAGAGTGCTTTTCTCTCTCTCTTTTGTGTATATGCATCCAGTGTCATGAATTTAAACACACACACACACACACACACACACACACACACAGAATATTTTATAAATTGATATGCAGAGCCACCAGATACAGAAATAAACTAGCAACCAACCTGTTATTGTTTCACTTAGTAATTTCTGAAGGAGGACTTGATTATGTTTATTTTTGAAAATCCATTTGTTTTCATTTTAGCAAGTCATGAGATTTGCAGAAGTAACCCAAGAAGTTGAAGTAGCAAGACCAGTAGACAAGGCGATATGTGGTTTGACGCCTGGGAGACGGTACAGAAACCAGGCTCGGGGAGGTCCAGTTGGAGATGGTATGATTTGATGTTCCTTCATTTTTCCACTGATTGCTCTCTCTTTAAAAAACAAACAAACAACAACAAGAACAAAACAAAACCAAAAAAACAAGCAAAACCGGATCGGCTGTGGTGTGGCAGAAACGTCCTGCCCAAGGGAAGCCAGATCCCACGTGGTGACTGCCGTGGAATCTGCCTGGTCAGTGTAAAACATGGCAGGCATGTGTGCAAGTGCCCAGGGTTCGATGGGCTGGAGGACTGGACGGGGGACTGCAGTGTGGCCAGACCATGTGGAGGGTCGCATCTTTCTCTCTTTTGCTTTCACGTGTGCCCATAGTATCTCTTACGAATGAAGAAAACACAAGGTCTGTTTCATGTAAGAGGATTAGTTACATTCTTTCTCAAAAACTGAGCACAGAAAAATTTGAACTAAAATATAGATGAGATTTCTTGCATACCATAACTTATTTTAAGGAAGTAAGATACATGACAACTCAAGAAATTGCTGTTAATTGGACTGGTCTCTAGTCCCAGTGTTAACACTGTTTAAAGAAGCTCTTTGTCTCCTGTGTAACCGTTAACAGCCTTTCCTTACCCACTACAGAACTGCTGGTTACGGAAGTGGTTTTACAGAGTTTCCCGCCTTTGCCATCGTGCGAGCTTTTGGACATCAACGATGAGCAGACACTGCCAAGGCTGATTGAAGCCTTGGAGAAACGATACCATCTACGACAAATGATGGTCGAGGAGTTTAACAAGCAATGTAAGGATGACACTGCTTGTAGTCATTTAAACTTCAGCAATGGGAAGAATTTACAGTCCGTCTGAGTTCTGGGATGGGATGCATCTTTAAGGAAGAGTTAGTTGGTCCCTATATTCTGGAATTCCCAAGGCATTGTTTAATTACAACAATAAGGAATTTCCCCATAGCTCTTGCTTGCATTCTAAGGAAGTCAAAAGAAGGAAAGAGTATGTGTACCCCACTCTCACCCCCTTCTTTTTATGCCTTGACTTTTCCGGAGGTCCAATAACAATGGACACAGGGATATTTCTTAGTTTCCTTTTCTACAAAATGGGGAGTGTGATGGTCTCCGCCTCAGTGTGAGGTTAACTGAGATAAGGTTCAAAAGTCCTGGAGGACAGTTTAGAGCAGCCTCGTACCTGAAAAGTGAGTGCACCGTACCCACTATTTTTATTATCAGTTTTATTATCAGTTCATTCTAATCTTCACAAAAAAGTTGAGGTAAATGATGGTTAATTTCCATATTGAAATTTATTCGTGAAAAAAAAAAAATCAGCTTGCCCATGTCCTAGTTAGGTAGCAGTATTCCAGGGATTTCAGCTCAGGTCTCACTGACCCCAGGTCTAGTTCTTGTTCTGTTTTTGCGTTTGCTGTTCTGAAGCAAGTTACTTACCTGTGAGTGTATCACCTGGGAAGAGGGTGATACAGTACGTAATGAAGCGCTGAGTGTTTCTCGGTGTCAGGACAGTTCTGTGAATGCTCTTGTAGATTCGAGAATCAGACTCTTGAGTTCCTACCAATTTCCTTTCTGAATTTCTCCATTTTATCTAGTATCTGCAAATAAAAGTTGATTTTTCTTATTTTGGTATGGGAATGAAACATGGCCTGCATGCTTTTGTTTCAGCTAATACTTTCAAAGTTTTGTTACAAGAATTTGACAACACTGTTTCAAATAAAGAAAACTACATTCAAGGAAAACTAAATGAAAAAGAAAAGATGATCTCAGGACAGAAATCGGAAATAGAACGACTGGAAAAGAAGAATAAAACTTTAGAGTATAAGGTTTGTCCTGACTGACGCGTGCGTTGGCTCTGAGCTGTTCCGCTCCATCAGCCTGTCACTGCTGCTCGCTAGGAATTGGCCTGAGACCGCTTACTAATCTTCCCCATACCCCAGGAGAGGGAATGTGAGGGGAAAGCATAAATGGGAGGAAAGAGATAACTGATATGTATTCTTTAATTTTATGAGGTTGAATTTAAGCGATTGAAGAGAATGTTCTCTGGCCTAAACCAGTGAGCTTCCCAGAGACTTTCTAAAATTTAGCTTTGGTTATAGTTTTTTGGTGATTTATTTGAAATATTCATGCTTATGCCTTTTTTCAACACTCACAGAAATTAATAACTGAGATGATATAAAAGTGCCAGCCTCTGCCTTGGGTATAACATACTTGCTAAATGTTTGTTAGATCCATATTTACAGATTGGATTATAAAGGAGCACCTACTCCAGATTAATCTCTTCCTGGGGGAGAAGGAAAGACAGTTCTCTGGGGAGCATCACAGCTCTGGGATAGAAGTTCTGTCTATGGAGGACTGTCCAGCAGTGTAGGAGAGTGTACTCATTCTAGACAGAAGCTAGGCTCCACCAGCAGTTCTCTATATCCGGGACATAGCCTAAAATTGTCGGGGTGGGGGCTTTATTTTAGGGGGAAGTAATTTGTACATGAAGTTGGTCATAGCTTTATTTTTTATTGAAGAAATTGTTTAATATGTTCTGATTTGGGGGAATGGAGGTGGGATTTCAGGTAAAATATTAATATAAAGAAAGATACTTTGTGGTTTTTCTTTCCATAAATATACTGCATAAGCAAATTGAGGATTATCTCATAGCTACATGAAATATTTCCATAACAAATGTTAAACATAATGACCTACTTTCCCAGATTGAGATTTTAGAGAAAACAACTGCTATCTATGAAGAAGATAAACGCAACCTTCAACAGGAGCTGGAAACTCAGAACCAGAAACTTCAGCGACAGTTCTCTGACCAGTGCAGACTAGAAGCCAGGTTGCAGGATATGGTGACAGAAACAACAACGAAGTGGAAGAAGGAGTGTGTGAGTGTCCTTCTCATAGTGCTCCCTCTGGGAAGTGACTGACTTCAACTTGTGGTCGGTTTAAGTATTTGGAATTACAGTATTTCTGATTTTGATGGTGCGAGTTAACTCTCAAGACAAATTGGAGGACTGTCGCTTTCAGGAAATAAAATGATTAGTGATTAGTGCATTTATTTGATGGGGCTGAATTTTTATATAAATTGATCATTTGTAGGAGCGTCAAGTGGCAGCCAAACAGCTCGAAATGCAGAATAAACTCTGGGTCAAAGATGAAAAACTGAAACAGCTAAAGGCTATTGTCACTGAACCCAAAACTGACAAGCCAGAGCGACCCTCCCGGGAGCGGGACCGAGCAAAGGCCCCTCAGAGATCCGTCTCTCCATCGCCGGTGCCTGTAAGTCGTGGGTAGCTGTGCAGCGGTTTAGTGCCAGAGAGCATTTGCCGACTGTATGACTACTTCTGTGATGATCTGTTTCTTTTTTCATATTATTAACTGGATTTTGAAACTGATAAAAATATTTTAATATCCAGTATAAACACAAATTTAGTACAACAAATTTAGTAATTTAGTACAATTACTTGTGACATTCGGTCTTCATTGCTAAAATGATAGAAAATGAATGCGTTTCTCTGTTGTTCAGTCTCGCTCATTAATTCTCTCCAATTTTTCTAGCTTTCTAGTAACTCTATTGCTCAGATCCCCAACGGCCAGCAACTCATGAGCCAGCCTCAAGCACACAGGCGCTCTAACTCTTGCAGCAGCATTTCTGTAGCTTCCTGTGTTTCGGAATGGGAGCAGAAAATGCCTTCGTACAACACACCTCTCAATGTCACATCTCTTGCGAGGCGTAGGCAGCAGGAGCCAGGACAAAGTAAAACTTGTGTCGTGTCAGGCAGAAGGCGAGGGATGTACTGGACTGAAGGCAGGGAGGTGGTTCCCACGTTCAGGAATGAGCTAGAAATGGAAGAGGATCGTTGCAGCAGGGTTAGTGCCAGCACTGGTTTAAAGTATCGTAGCAATAAGCGTTTATCGTGTTTCCTGTAACCTGGTTCTGGGTGGTGGGCTCCGATACAAACCAGGCCGAATTCTTCTGTTAATCGAGAGATTGAGTCACCCTGAAACGGAGGCCCAGCTTGTCATATGAAAACACTAAATATGAATAAACAAAGAGTGCCTGCGTGCTCAGTGCATACAGGCCAGTGTGCACATCCCTTTACAGCTGTATAGGCTTGTGCGCGTCACGCAGAATCAGAAAGCATGAGTGTCTGGGAGGACACGTTCCATTTTTTTCTTTTGGTTTCCCTTCTCCAAATTAGATTGTATTTTTCTGCTTTTGAACTCTAATTTTTAAAATTTTCCCATACTTTAATTTTGAAAAATTTCCGATCCCAAATAAAAACGGAAAGAATGGCGCAGTAAATGTCTTTTCACCCCGCTTCAGTTCACCAGTTATTACTTTATATGGATTTGTAAGCTTTTTTTCCCTTGAACCATTTGAAAGTAAGCCACAGACTCTCGCGTTTCATCCCTAAGAATAAGAACGCTGTCCTACATAATCACAATCTTTATGACCACTAAGAAAGTTGACACTGGGGCCAGCAGAAGGTGTAGCAGTTATGTCACTGGACTCCCACATGGTCGACCATAGTTCAAGTCCCGGATCTGTTGGCCACTTCGGCGTGTGTGCCCAAGATCCCAGGAGAGTGGAAGAGAAGCGATTGCTGTGTGGCCATCTACCCCCTATCTTCACCTCCATGATTTCTCACTTTCCCTCTCACTGTGTCTGAGCATGCTCCTCACCTAGGGCAAAAACCTCAAGGGGAAAAAATAAAGAAAGTTAACATTGAGTAAATATCCTCTAAATTCCCCAGTTGTCCCAATAGTGGCTTTTCAATTCGCAATCCTACCAGTTTGAATGCATTATAGGTGATAATTACGTCTGTTAATCTCTTAACATAAAATAGCCACCCCTTCCTACGTAATGTGATTATCCAGTCTTCCTATTGAAGGGTCCAGGCCAGTTCTTTTGAAACTACTAAAATTTGCATGTCTGATACATTGCTTCAATCTTGAGACCTTCATCTCAATTAGCAAAGGGCTTCACCTCATTTGGCAGGGTTGAAATAAATTCATTTTTGTGTTTTCTTAAAGATGAATGTAGTTTCTTTTGAATTTGCATACATGGATGGAGTTAATACTGTAAATTTTATATGTAGTAAAATCTTAACATTGCTCTTTTGTAATTTCTTCTAAACAAATTAATCTTAGTGAATGTTTGCTCTAGATTTTCTCGTATAATTTCGGGTGTAGATGAACGTTCATTTAGGTGGCCTGCACTCCTGATTAATAAGGAATGGTGATGAATTTCAAGGTATTTAACAAAGCAATAGCTGATTCTCAAGTCTCTTGAATTCCTTACTTTGTAGATTTTTGCCTTAAACCTTTTTATGAAGCAAATTATGGTGAATGGTCTTTCTGATCCAACTCTAGTCAATCCCCTTATTTCATGAAAATTTACAGACTGAAGCCTGCTTATAACTGATCAACAGATACGTAATTTCTAATTTGGCTATGAGATATTTAAGAGGATTTACTAGAGATCCTTTAACTTCTCGCTCGAAATGAAAATTGCTTTAGAAGTGCAGCAGGAAAGTTACTATAAGATCAGTATCTGTTTTTAGCTCCGTTGATTTGAAATTGTCAGGTGGACTGAATTTATACTTCAAGGAGAAGAAAAGCTAATGTTTCACAAATGCTAGCAGATTGTACAGACTGTCTTTCCAAAGCTTATTTCAGGGTGTTGCTATTGCTAAATGTGTTCAAGAAAGCTTGTGCTTTTGCTAAATACATCATAAGAGCCAGACTTTCTTGTTGAACATTAAGCCAATATAAGAATGGAAAGTTTCCTGCCACTTTGAGGCTCGGAAGCTTTGGTGGCAAAAACAAACTATAGTGATCATGTGTGACAGTATAATAATGATTGAGCTGTCACCAGTGCTTTGTTGGTTCCTCATAACTGTTCAGGGATAGTGATTCTGTTTTCAGATTGGGTCCTTCATACTTGCCAGCTTGGAACGTTTTGGCTTGTCACGGACTTGCGTTCCTTTTTTTTTTCTTAAAGAATTATGTCACTTTATTTATTTATTTATTTACTTACTTACTTATTTTAATTTGACCAGAGATTGACAGAGAGAGAGAGAGAAAAAAAAAAAGAGAGAGAAAGTGAGAAAGCAAGCCACCAGGTCTGGAACTTGAACCCCCGGTTGGCCATGTGGGAGTCTAGAGCTCATAACCACGATGCCACCTGCCGGCCTCCATTTGCTTTCAGTTTTACAAATAGGAGATGGTCACATAATTCTGAAGATAACTCATTGCTTCTAACTATTAACTGTCATGTGTGTAAAATATTTTTTTCCTTTGGCTGAATGCTTTAATTTAATTTTCCCAGATTTATATGACATTTGACTAGAAACCACTAGTATTTTTAATGAATAGAGACTACTGGATACCATATTTTTTACTTGATTCATGAATTTTTTTATGATAAGATTTGGGGGAAAAATTATAGTTGGTGTATTTTAGCCATTATTTGTATTTGAACTTTTCATAAAGTTTGGCCCTAAGATTTAACATTTTTACTGCAAGTATTCAGCTTTTTTGATACAAGGTTCTTATGTTCTTTGATATTTTCCTAGAATATAACTGCTTCGGCTTTTGTTGTTGTTTTGATCTCTGTAAGAAGTGCTTTCCCTTATGTTTTGGGGGCTAGGACATGTTTAAGACTTCAATTGAGCGCATGGGAGCTTTCCCTAGAGTTGTGGACCTACTATTAGGTGGTTGAGAAAGTCATGACATATATTTCTGTATTGTTCTATGCAAAAATGCCTCAGGAATTTCCTGATGACACAGTAGATCGCCTTAGCAATAGCGGGCCAAGGTTCCGTTTTGGTTGAGCACGGGAAATGAACGGTTTGTCCTGAGCCACCACCTATGCCATGCAAGGAGGACCAGCAGCACTGCAGTGTCTTCCCCTCCATGCCCTGTGGAGAGGGAAGCCCCAGGTAGCATATACCAGCTGCTGTTTACAGATGTCTGTTGGTTTTGTGTTTAAATATGAAGTGAGTGTTGAAATCGTTTGAATGATAACACAGTGAGCTTTTGAAAAGGTTGTTTTGATACTGTCCTCAACTGCCATAGCCAAGCCTGCTGCACTTCTAACAGTACGTTCACATTAATTCTGGGTTATGCTTGTTTCTCGCTTCCTCTTTCAACCTGATCAGAACGCACCACCAATTCGTCTCCGACACAGACGGTCGCGCTCTGCGGGAGACAGATGGGTAGCCCATAAGCCTGCCTCTAACGTGCAGACCGAGACAGTCATGCAGCCACATGTCCCTCATGCCATCACAGTGTCTGTGCCCAATGAAAAGGCGCTAGCTAAGTGTGAGAAGTACATGCTGACCCACCAGGAACTAGCCTCCGATGGGGAGATTGAGACTAAACTAATTAAGGTAAAAACCAATTTACACAGAAGAAAAACATACTGAAAAGCAGCTTAACAAAAACCCATGTTCCCTGCTACTCCTTTGACATGCAGGCGCTATCAGTGGGAATATAAACGGGTATTTGATGTAACCTCTTTGTTAGCAGAAAATTAAAGGGACAAGTCGACTTAGCTTGTGAATCTGCTGAACGGGGCTAAATCTGCTTAAATAGGCTTAGGCTTTCAGGTTTTTCAGAACTCCAAATCATAATGTACTTTAATTGCTGTACAAGTTAGTTTTAACTCCTACTTATAAAGTAAACTGAAACAAAGAACCCCTGATTTTGCTCTCTGTAAGTTCCAGATAAAAAGCCTACACTAAATTGACCTATTGGGGCCAGCAGGTGGCATAGTGGTTAAGGTGCTGGACTCCCACATGGCCGACCATAGTTCAAGTCCCGGACCAGGCAGCTTGAAAATCATGCCAGGTGCTTGTGCATACATGCCCAGAACCCCAGGAAGAGAATGGAGAAGGGATTGCACTGTGGCCATCCCTGCAGGGGAGTGATTTCTCACTTTCCCTCTCACTGTCTCTGTCTCTCTCCTCTGGTGCGCACATGCTCCCTATGGCAAAAAAAAAAAAAAAAAAAAAAACAACTTAAAAAATATTTTGACTTATCACGATTACTCATTGTTGAGCTCGCTACCTAAGCCCCTTCACAGAAAGAAGAGACTTGTTTGTCTAGAATTTTCCTTTGATCATTGTCAATGAATAATCAAGAAAATAAAAGGTGGGACTGAAAACAGATACTTTCCATTCCAAATTCAGTTTAAAGGATAGTTCTTATCATAATTAAACAAAATATGGTAATGTCACTTGAAAATGACAGGGCAAGATAAGAACGGACAAAGCCTTAACAACATGCAGCCGTTTCTGGTCAATTTCCTGATCTTCAGTGGCAGTTTAGTTTTTAAGTTATAGGTGGAACAAGAAGGGATTTTCTCAGTCATGAATGTTACTGATGATATGTTGTTGGGCTTTTGTTTAGTGGGAGATGACGCAGGTACACAGCTGTCTGCATACCTCGGTAGTATGGTTTTGTGGGTGGGAGTTTCCATAAAACAGCAGAATTTTGAGATCAATTTAAAATATGATGCATGTGTGTTTATCATTTGGATATGCTGAAGTATAACTGTGGCCTTTTCTCTTGGCTTTAGGGTGATGTTTATAAAACAAGGGGCGGTGGACAATCTGTTCAGTTTACTGATATTGAGACTTTAAAACAAGAGTCGCCAAATGGGTGAGTGATCATTGACAGTGTCACTTTAAGAGGCTGTCGTTCCCTGAGCTGCTTGTACTCAAGGGACAGGCCGCCAGGGAATCTGTCACTCATTCTCTAAAGGGGCAGAGAGGGCACATCCCCATTTCTAACATCGTTCCTGATTTCAGATACCACGATAACCATTGCCGTGTTTTCCCCCTTTGCAGTCGAAAACGAAGATCTTCCACTGTAGCACCTGCCCAGCCAGATGGCGCAGAGTCTGAATGGACCGATGTAGAAACAAGGGTAGGGACAGATTAATACTTTCCTGCTTCGTAAAAATCTGGCCTGCTGGGCCAGCCTGTAGTGTGGTAGTTAGACTGGCTGGATCCCATATGGCTGACAGTGCAATTTGAGTCCTAGGTCCAGTGGCTTGGGAAGCATGCCAGGCACGTGTGTGTTGGTGCCTAGAATCATGAGGTGGGGGAGAAAGGGAGAATTGCAGTGTGACCATCCCCCGTGGGGGGTGTTTTCTCATTCCCCCCCTCTCTTTAGTACGTGTCCGCTTGGCAGAATTTAAAAGAAGAGAAAATGGTCAGCCATGTTTTAGACCCCACTTCTGTAGTACAGGCCCCTTGAGGGTGCTGTAGCCCGAGCTGACCTCGCAGGCGAGCTGGTTGGTCTGCTCCTAGCCAGCCTGCACAAGTATTTGTTTCTTCAGGCCCGCTCTTACTGGAGCCTTCGTTTCAAAAGGCTGTATTTTCAGTGCAGGGAGGGATAGGGCTCAAAAATCAAGTCAGAATATCACACATCAAACTGGAGGAGGTGTGATACGGAAAGAACATGGGAAGGTGGGGCGGTGGGGCTGCCAGGATGCCCAGCTCCGGCCCTGGACACTAACATGTCAAGAACTCTCCCATACCCCAAACGAGGGAAGAGACCTGGATGGCATCTAAAGGCCCTCCTGACTCACAACCTGTGTGGCCAAGCCAGAGGTAACTTGCGAGGACCTGACAGCTATTGGAACATAGGAGTCTTGGCCAACCAGAAGGCAGTGCTGGCTCTCACCGGGCTAGGACCTATCTGAACAGAACTGTGTTTCATATAGGCTGTCTCGGGCTGATCTCTCCCTCTTCTGCCTTCCCTCAGTGTTCTGTGGCTGTGGAGATGCGAGCAGGATCTCAGCTGGGGCCCGGATATCAGCATCACGCACAGCCCAAGTGAGCACTGACTAACTGGGGCCCTGCCGCGGGTGCCTTCCTCCTCTAGTACTTGCACCATCACTCTCTGCCAACCACCCCCCCCATCTTTAGGAACAAATATATGGTCCTCCCTTCCCCTCTGGCACTCTGGGCCCTCTGGCGGGCGGCAGTAGGCAGCGCAGTGCCAGAACCTTGGAGGGCTGGGTACCAGTGGTCAGAGCTGCGAGGACAGGAGTGACAGGGCTTCGTTCCTCTTGTTCATATTCTTCCAGTGCTCACCACGCTTTCTGAGGCTGAACCGAGAGCACCTTTGTGTAATTCCCTTTCTGACTTGCTTCTTGGTCTTGCTATAGCAAACTGAGCGGTGGAATTTATGGCAGGGAGTTCAACCCATACTCAGGAGTCTGACCCATTCTTTCTCCATGTTTTCATGAAGCCCTTTTGGTATAAATATCTACCTATATAACATTTCTTTAAAAAAAGTTTATCCCATGAGTGATAAACCTGACATGCACCTGACAGCATACTGAAGCCACAATACCCACCCCACCCCCCAGCCTCGGCCAGCTCTGCGTTATGGGCACATACATGTCTGGCATACCTTGGGAAGTCCCGGGACTCAAACCAGCAACCTTCTCCTGTATTGTCTGCCCCCCCCACACACACACACAACATTTTTGGCAGTTGTGTTCCTTAGATAGTTTGGAAAATCATTTCAACAGGATCAAGGTGGGAAGTGGTGTTTTCTAAGTTTAGTACTAGATAGGCATGTTCTACAATAGCTTTCTCACAAGGACCTGAATTTTCCCATGGCAAAACAGCAATTCTTAAAGCCCTTCTAAAGACTCAAGTGCTATGAATATGTCACTAATTGCAAACTGCAATACTATTTTGTTTTAGACGCAAAAAGCCATGAACCCACAGTCCCAGTAGCAGAAGAACATTCTCAGCTGTGCTGAACTCATAAACCATGCCAGAAGTGGTCTTCTGACTCTCCCTCAGCTGCGCCATGCACTGCCTGGATCAAAGCTTCCCCTACGTTCCAAAGACATTTGGATTCCGCAAACTTGTATTCTATGCCTTGTCGTATTTAATAATAGCAGAGGAATGCCCTTTTTTTCTCTTTTGCTGTATGAACTTTTTTTATAATGCTGTTTTTTGTATGTTTCTTATATACTTATAAACTCATGGATGCAAGTGTTTTTGTCTTGGGTGATTAAGGAAGACTATTTAGATCACACTTCACTTTTTATTGTGACTTTGCAAGTTCTGGTCTGAGTATTTCTCAAGTTTTTATAAATAAATGCTGCTATTTATTAGCTGCAAGAATGCACTTTAGACATTTGAGAATTCACATGTTCAAAATAAAGATGTCACTGACTGGCCAATAATAAAACCATTTTTGGAAGTTGTTTTGAATTTTGTATGTGTATATTCGTTTTGTGCCATTTAGATATGCCAAAAGAATTGAAATAAAAAGCACTAAGAAATACAAAGTTGCATGATGACCATCCACTCTGCGCTGATCTGCTACTGTGCCTGGGCCCCCACGACCTTTCTCTTCCAGGATCCCATCTGGACAGCATGTTATAGGTGGTCACCATGCCTCCTTCAGTGGCTCAGACTTAATGGTATGTTTTTGTCTTAGGCTGTAATTTCAATGTAATCAAACAGTCTTGCCCTTCATATTTTGTGTCTTAATATTTTCTATTTTTCTTCTAAGATTTTTCACAATATGTGGTGTTAGGAAAGAATTAAAACATTCTATGCCCACCCATACCTCCATTGGGCTAGAAAACCAATTGTTTCAGTAATAGTTGTTTTTTTAAGTTTTTGTTTTGTGTGTGTTTATCATTTGGATATGCTGAAGTATAACTGTGGCCTTTTCTCTTGGCTTTAGGGTGATGTTTATAAAACAAGGGGCGGTGGACAATCTGTTCAGTTTACTGATATTGAGACTTTAAAACAAGAGTCGCCAAATGGGTGAGTGATCATTGACAGTGTCACTTTAAGAGGCTGTCGTTCCCTGAGCTGCTTGTACTCAAGGGACAGGCCGCCAGGGAATCTGTCACTCATTCTCTAAAGGGGCAGAGAGGGCACATCCCCATTTCTAACATCGTTCCTGATTTCAGATACCACGATAACCATTGCCGTGTTTTCCCCCTTTGCAGTCGAAAACGAAGATCTTCCACTGTAGCACCTGCCCAGCCAGATGGCGCAGAGTCTGAATGGACCGATGTAGAAACAAGGGTAGGGACAGATTAATACTTTCCTGCTTCGTAAAAATCTGGCCTGCTGGGCCAGCCTGTAGTGTGGTAGTTAGACTGGCTGGGTCCCCTATGGGCGACCCGGGCATGGCTTGGGAAGCATGCCAGGCACGTGTGTGTTGGTGCCTAGAATCATGAGGTGGGGGAGAAAGGGAGAATTGCAGTGTGACCATCCCCCGTGGGGGGTGTTTTCTCATTCCCCCCCTCTCTTTAGTACGTGTCCGCTTGGCAGAATTTAAAAGAAGAGAAAATGGTCAGCCATGTTTTAGACCCCACTTCTGTAGTACAGGCCCCTTGAGGGTGCTGTAGCCCGAGCTGACCTCGCAGGCGAGCTGGTTGGTCTGCTCCTAGCCAGCCTGCACAAGTATTTGTTTCTTCAGGCCCGCTCTTACTGGAGCCTTCGTTTCAAAAGGCTGTATTTTCAGTGCAGGGAGGGATAGGGCTCAAAAATCAAGTCAGAATATCACACATCAAACTGGAGGAGGTGTGATACGGAAAGAACATGGGAAGGTGGGGCGGTGGGGCTGCCAGGATGCCCAGCTCCGGCCCTGGACACTAACATGTCAAGAACTCTCCCATACCCCAAACGAGGGAAGAGACCTGGATGGCATCTAAAGGCCCTCCTGACTCACAACCTGTGTGGCCAAGCCAGAGGTAACTTGCGAGGACCTGACAGCTATTGGAACATAGGAGTCTTGGCCAACCAGAAGGCAGTGCTGGCTCTCACCGGGCTAGGACCTATCTGAACAGAACTGTGTTTCATATAGGCTGTCTCGGGCTGATCTCTCCCTCTTCTGCCTTCCCTCAGTGTTCTGTGGCTGTGGAGATGCGAGCAGGATCTCAGCTGGGGCCCGGATATCAGCATCACGCACAGCCCAAGTGAGCACTGACTAACTGGGGCCCTGCCGCGGGTGCCTTCCTCCTCTAGTACTTGCACCATCACTCTCTGCCAACCACCCCCCCCATCTTTAGGAACAAATATATGGTCCTCCCTTCCCCTCTGGCACTCTGGGCCCTCTGGCGGGCGGCAGTAGGCAGCGCAGTGCCAGAACCTTGGAGGGCTGGGTACCAGTGGTCAGAGCTGCGAGGACAGGAGTGACAGGGCTTCGTTCCTCTTGTTCATATTCTTCCAGTGCTCACCACGCTTTCTGAGGCTGAACCGAGAGCACCTTTGTGTAATTCCCTTTCTGACTTGCTTCTTGGTCTTGCTATAGCAAACTGAGCGGTGGAATTTATGGCAGGGAGTTCAACCCATACTCAGGAGTCTTCTCAGCTGGGGCCCGGATATCAGCATCACGCACAGCCCAAGTGAGCACTGACTAACTGGGGCCCTGCCGCGGGTGCCTTCCTCCTCTAGTACTTGCACCATCACTCTCTGCCAACCACCCCCCCCATCTTTAGGAACAAATATATGGTCCTCCCTTCCCCTCTGGCACTCTGGGCCCTCTGGCGGGCGGCAGTAGGCAGCGCAGTGCCAGAACCTTGGAGGGCTGGGTACCAGTGGTCAGAGCTGCGAGGACAGGAGTGACAGGGCTTCGTTCCTCTTGTTCATATTCTTCCAGTGCTCACCACGCTTTCTGAGGCTGAACCGAGAGCACCTTTGTGTAATTCCCTTTCTGACTTGCTTCTTGGTCTTGCTATAGCAAACTGAGCGGTGGAATTTATGGCAGGGAGTTCAACCCATACTCAGGAGTCTGACCCATTCTTTCTCCATGTTTTCATGAAGCCCTTTTGGTATAAATATCTACCTATATAACATTTCTTTAAAAAAAGTTTATCCCATGAGTGATAAACCTGACATGCACCTGACAGCATACTGAAGCCACAATACCCACCCCACCCCCCAGCCTCGGCCAGCTCTGCGTTATGGGCACATACATGTCTGGCATACCTTGGGAAGTCCCGGGACTCAAACCAGCAACCTTCTCCTGTATTGTCTGCCCCCCCCACACACACACACAACATTTTTGGCAGTTGTGTTCCTTAGATAGTTTGGAAAATCATTTCAACAGGATCAAGGTGGGAAGTGGTGTTTTCTAAGTTTAGTACTAGATAGGCATGTTCTACAATAGCTTTCTCACAAGGACCTGAATTTTCCCATGGCAAAACAGCAATTCTTAAAGCCCTTCTAAAGACTCAAGTGCTATGAATATGTCACTAATTGCAAACTGCAATACTATTTTGTTTTAGACGCAAAAAGCCATGAACCCACAGTCCCAGTAGCAGAAGAACATTCTCAGCTGTGCTGAACTCATAAACCATGCCAGAAGTGGTCTTCTGACTCTCCCTCAGCTGCGCCATGCACTGCCTGGATCAAAGCTTCCCCTACGTTCCAAAGACATTTGGATTCCGCAAACTTGTATTCTATGCCTTGTCGTATTTAATAATAGCAGAGGAATGCCCTTTTTTTCTCTTTTGCTGTATGAACTTTTTTTATAATGCTGTTTTTTGTATGTTTCTTATATACTTATAAACTCATGGATGCAAGTGTTTTTGTCTTGGGTGATTAAGGAAGACTATTTAGATCACACTTCACTTTTTATTGTGACTTTGCAAGTTCTGGTCTGAGTATTTCTCAAGTTTTTATAAATAAATGCTGCTATTTATTAGCTGCAAGAATGCACTTTAGACATTTGAGAATTCACATGTTCAAAATAAAGATGTCACTGACTGGCCAATAATAAAACCATTTTTGGAAGTTGTTTTGAATTTTGTATGTGTATATTCGTTTTGTGCCATTTAGATATGCCAAAAGAATTGAAATAAAAAGCACTAAGAAATACAAAGTTGCATGATGACCATCCACTCTGCGCTGATCTGCTACTGTGCCTGGGCCCCCACGACCTTTCTCTTCCAGGATCCCATCTGGACAGCATGTTATAGGTGGTCACCATGCCTCCTTCAGTGGCTCAGACTTAATGGTATGTTTTTGTCTTAGGCTGTAATTTCAATGTAATCAAACAGTCTTGCCCTTCATATTTTGTGTCTTAATATTTTCTATTTTTCTTCTAAGATTTTTCACAATATGTGGTGTTAGGAAAGAATTAAAACATTCTATGCCCACCCATACCTCCATTGGGCTAGAAAACCAATTGTTTCAGTAATAGTTGTTTTTTTAAGTTTTTGTTTTGTTTGTTTTTCAGTAGGGTGTGTGCACTTGCTGGAGAGAGAGGGAAAGTGAGAAATTACCCCCAAGGAGGGATAGCCATGCTGCAGTCTTCTCCATTCTCCTTTTGGGACTGTGGGTATGCACGCACACGTGTTTTTCAAGCCACCAGGTCTGGGATTTGACCCATACAGTTGGTCATGTGGGGTCTACCTGCCTCAATCACCATACCACCTGGCTGGCCCATGCTATGGATTTTTGGCAGATGTTCTTTATCAGGTTATGGAAGTTACCTTCTCCAGTTTTCTCTAAGAGTCTATTTGAATAGGGAGCTCAGCAGTTAGCATAATGGCTATGTTGCTGGACTCCCATGTAGTCGACTGCGGTTTGGGTCCCAGACCTGGTGGCTTGAACTCAAGCCAAGTGTGTGTGTGTGTGTGTGTGTGTGTGTGTGTGTACGTACGCACGCCCAAGATCCCAAGAGGAGAATGGAGAAGGGATTGTGGAGTGGCCATCCCCCCCTCCCCCTGGGGGGTGTGATTTCTTGTGTTCTGTCTCTATCGCTGTCTTTCTGGCGAGCTGCACACACCCTATAGCAAAAAACTCTCCAGAAACAAAACAAAACAAAAAGTCTATGTGAATAGCTGTTGGATTTTATTAAATGGTTCTTCTGAACCCATATGAATTCCATCTAGACTTTCCTTTGTTAGTAGAATTAATTTTTAGATTGTTATGATGAAATATCCTGTTTAGTCATCATACACTGTATGTTTTTAAACAATTATTTTATTGGGGACAGCAGGTGGTGTGGTTAAGGTGGCTGGACTCCCACCTGGCTGACTGAGGTTTGAGTCCCGAATCTGGCAGCTTACTTTCTCACTTCTGTCTCTCTCTAGTCAACTTCAAATAAATAAATAAATAAATGACAATAAAATAATTACATCTTTTTAAAAAAGAATTATTTTATTTATTAGTATTATTTTCCTGTTTGAGCAGAGAGGAGAGAGAGGGGGAGAAAGCAAGTCACCAGGTCCACGGCTTGAA